ATGCACCAGATTTAGCAGAAAGCTAATTTTCATTTGCAGTCCTATTTAATTACAATGCTTTCTGTTGTTGTTTGTTTGTTTGATTGTTTGTTAGTTTTTTTTTGTTTTAAAAAAATCAATTTATTGTATCAAGCACATTGTTTGCATTGGAAGGCATTTAATGGTGTGAATCACCCCTTAAAGTTGGCAAAATTGCTCCCGTTATTGCTTTGTTTCCCTTCTGTTTACAGTTGACATGCTGTGGAACCCCACAGCCACGTAGCGTCATGTGGGCGTAGTTTGTAGGGGTGTGGTTTGTAGCGACTGTACCTTGGCTCCAGCTGCAGTCAGACCCTTCTCCGCAAAAGCCCAAAAACTATGCCATCTTGCCAGGGACAAAACTAAGAGAAATCCTACATATTTGTTTTTTCTGTAAAATAGGCAGTGCAACAGCGCCTTCTAGTGCCTTAACTAGGTATCTGCCTTACATAAATAACCATCTTGCTACAAGAAACGTTTATTTGAATTCACAATTTCAATTTCTTAGCTAACTCAATTATGTTCGGTTACACAACCTAACCAGTTTAGTTAAATGCTCTCTTTTCACCAGGGCTACACCATGTTATAGATGAGCCTATTAATGAATAGTAAATCATTCATAGCTGCAATTATAAACTACTTACTACTGAGGAATCATGCCTTATCAATGATGAACTGACCAGTTATAAAGCATGAAAATGAAATAATTGTCATGTTGTAGATGAGTCTATTAATGAAGAGTACATCATATAACTGATTGTAAACTACACACTACTGAATAATCATGCCTTATAAATAATGAATTCAGTATTTTTCTGATGCTTAAAAAATGCCTAAAAGTGTGTGCTTATTATAAAGTGATACTCAAAATCTCATATATCGGCGCTTTCATAGCAATCTATTACCCAGTTATAATTCTGACTTAGAACTTAAAGTGAAGCTAGTAAATTATAACTCTGATAATAAAGAGGTACTATCAAGCTGTACTATGTGAAGTGTAGGACTCACCAATCTTTGGGCCAAATCAGCAGCTAAAAGTCACGACATCCTCTACCCAACTGATTTAAAAAACAATCTTGGAATCAGAAACTAAATTCCTGTCTCTGGTTAGAGGAGGACTTTATGGTATATATCCATAAATTCTGGGGAAAAAATGTGCTTGTCATATCAGCAATACACGATCTTGTGGTTTCTTTTCAGTTTAAATATCAAATCATCGTTTGTAGTTACTGTTCATCCATCCATCCATCATCTTCCACTTATCCGGGGTCGAATGGCGATGGCAGCAGCGGAGCAGGTCATCCCAGACTTCCCTCCCCCCGGCGACGCTTTCCAGCTCTTCCTGGGGATCCCTAGGCGATCCCAGGCCAGCCGAGAGATGTAATCCCTCCAGCGGGTTCTGGGTCTGCCCCGGGGTCTCCTCCCAGGTGTTCGAAAGACCTCCAGAGAAGGCCTCCCCGGAGGCATCCGAATCAGGTGTCCATACCACCTCAACTGGCTCCTTTCGATGCGAGGAAGCAGCGGCTCTACTCCGAGCTCCTCACCCTATCTCTAAGGCTGAGCCCAGCCACCCTGCGAAGGAAGCTCATTTCGGCCGCTGTATCCGCGATCTTATTCTTCCGGTCACGACCCAAAGCTCGTGACCATAGGTGAATTGGAACGTAGATGGACTAGTAAATCGAGAGCTTCGCCTTGCGGCTCAGCCCTCTCTTCACCACGACGGTCCGGTAGAGCGCCGTAATACTGCTGACGCCGCACCGAGCCGCCTGTCCATCTCGCGCTGCATTTTCCCATCACTCGTGAACAAGATCCCGAGATACTTAAACTCCCTCGCTTGAGGAAGCAAGCGAGGTAGTTTGGCACATAGTTACTGTGCGAATACTATGCAGATTCCAACATTGTTCGTTGTTTGTCAGATTCGCGACACCCTGAAAGGCACAAATCCAGATGTTTCAATTCCATATGATTTAATGATGGATTTAATTCTAATTCTTGCAAAGTTATCTTGAGTTAAATGACAAAAAAGTGGGACTTACAACAATTAGCATTAGTTAACATAATGACAAAGAAAGTGGCACAATATTTCCATGTCAGAGTTGAGTTTATTTAAACCTGAGTCAAAGTTTCAACTCATGATAGTTTTATCCACCATAAACCTAAGAGGCTGCAGTGGGAAAATGTTAGTGTGCGATGGTCAGTATTGTAAAACAGAGGTTGTTCTTAGTGTTTTATCTGGTTTAATAAAAGAAACATCAATAATAAAGTCACACAAGTGTAATCAGAATGCACAAACACAATACTACTGCACTTCAGTACAGTTTTCACAGGTAGCAGAACATATTAGTAAGAGAAAAGCTCACCCTAGTGTTCTGAGATGGTAAGACGTCTGAGTGAGACACCACACCACTGTGCCTCTGTTATTGCTTTGTATGTTTTAATTCGGTTTAAAGATGGAAAAACATGACTTGATTTAGTTGTGAACTTGTGGCACAACAGTTAAGATAAAAAGCATTTCTTAGTTCTTTAGTTTTTCATTGACTACATAATCACATAAAAAACAAACTGTAATATAAGTTTCTATGATCAACGGTTACCTTTAGTCAACACAAAAGCGCCTTGTTTGCTCACTGAGGGTAAAATGACAAATTCTGACTGCCAGTTCATAAACAGTAAACTATTACTTGATGACATCTTACGAAAGGCAACCTTGAAAACCACAAGACTGTTCCAGTAACAGAGTTGAAAGAAGTGCATCCACAATGTAACATCTTATTAAATATACATAGAGAAACATTAAAATATCAATTGTCAAATATATCTAATGCCCTTCATTATTTATTTATTCTTTCCATTAAAAAGTTTATTATTTAATTCTGAAGCAGTGAAACCACAGTGTTACGCTTCAGTTGTGACTCCAGACAGACTAAAGCAACAGTGGTGAGAACACTTGTAAATTTGTTGGCTGTTAGTGTTTGAAAAAAGTAGTTAAAAAAAATACAACAACATTCTTTTAATCAAAGCTTGGAAACCCAAGTGGTTTATATATAGAGTGGACTAAACTCACCATTTACTAGTTGATTTTACCACTCGGATAACTCAACATTTAGCTAAACACTAGCAATTAGCCTTAATATTTGCATTACCAAGAGTTGTTAATGGCACAAACTAACATTAAAAATGCCACAAGAAAATCCTTTGACCCTGCTGTCATATAACCAATGCATCATTTAGTGCCTGCTTCCATATTTTACAAGAGCAGTTTGAAACAGTCTTGTGCTTCCTTGTCAATGTCGGGCTGCTCTCAGCACTGACACACTCCTGGTGAATCAGACAGAATTAATGGAAAGTGCAATGTTACTAATAAATGAATCAAGGACTGCTCCTCACATGATTGATTGCAGCTGCAAAACTGAGAGAGTCTCTCTGGTGAAACTAATGTCTGCTCATCTCTGTGGAGGCATTCAAACCAAATTGTCAGCGTGAGGTTATTATCAACAGGCAGTACCTCAGAAAAACAGAACATGTAATGTTAGTTTAAAACAAACTTTGCTATCCCCCATAAAGTTTATATTGAACTGATAAGAAATGTCGTCGCCACTGTGACCCAGCACATTAGCCAAATCTAAGAGAGAAAATGACACCACACAAAAGTAAAACAGAACAAAGACGGATATACAAGATGCAATCAAGAAGAAACAAGTCTGTGCCCATAAAAAGCAAATACCACACCTGATTTAAACTTGACTGCTAACCTCTTTGAAGTAGTCATCTTGCGCAGTGATACACTGCTCCCAGAGCTCCTGCCATGTTTGAAGTCCTACTCAGTAAGTGGCATAAACTGCACTGAATCTCCTCCACTGTGATCAAGAGAAAGAGAGGACCAGGGAAACACATCTGGCGAGTACAGTGGTGGAAGAGCAACGGTTGTGTTGGTGTAGCCAAAAAACTTGCACTGTAACCAGGCAGATGTTTGCACATGTCGTGGTTCGGGTCATTTGTTCTGAACTCAGCGTACACAACCTTGTGAATGACAAAGCAGGTCGCTCTTCGTTGCACTGCTTAGTTTGATTTAGTTTGGTCTCTGGGTCAAAACCAACTCTCGTCACCAGGGATTATTATTGACGAGATGGTTGGATCAGTTTGTCACAGACTTTGATGTTTGCTTCCTGCACAAGTTTGACGTCCATGGTGAAATTGCAAATGTAGTCCTGCAAATGGTCATATATGGACTTCAAGGAGTGTTAAAAATGTGGCAGTACTGATGTATTGCTGCACAAGAAGGGTACTTTGAAGGGGATGGTGACCTTATGTAAATCAGCTACAGCCTCTTGATCACACCTCATAGTGCCAAAAATTGACAAAATCAGAGCCATTGCTCTAAAGTGCATCCAAACTGCGGTCAGTTCCTCAGTTACAATTTTTCAGTGAAGGCTAGTCGTAGACTGTTAGAGGTATATCTAGAAGGAGGAGAAAGGATAATCTAAGTCTATGCAGACGAGGATGAACAGAGTCTGTTAACAGAGTCAAGATGCAATCACTCTCTGTGTCTCATTCTCTTGTTCCTGTGTGTCACTGTCTGAAAGCAGAGGGGGATGAGTTGGCACAGCAGTCCTATAAGGCAAATTATCTTTAGTCAACATCTTTCTGGTGGCAGAAACCAGGCGGGAATAGTTGTCAGGGTTGTACTCCGACAAAGGACGTCGCGTGCGCAGCAGAGGAAGATTGTCTCTGCTGGGCTGTGACAGGAAGAGAGGCGGCCGTCGCTGGCACTCGCCCTCCTTCAGGGAGTCTGGCAGCGGCTTGCGTTTGCTTTCGGGGAGAAGCATAATGCAGAGGACAGAGAGGACGGCAAAGGAGGCGAAGATGACATGGTGGAGGAAGTAGCCACTGTTATTCTGAAGCTCCATCAGGGAGGAGGCGGCCATCCCAACACAACCTGAGGCCATAACGAGGCCGAAGCAGCCACCTCTGACCGAGGAGGAGGAAAGGGAGAACAAGTCAGTATGAGGAGACAATACTTGTATCATCTCTCTTGTTTTTTTTCAGTCTCTAAACTGTCCAACTTTCCTACAGTGTCTGTAGTACTCAGCCCAAACCCTATTCGTTCCTCGAGAAGATACAGCCTTTAAATTGTTGGTTGGTTGGTTGGTTACACACATATGGCACACAAATGTGTGTAACCATGTGGTGAATAACTAAGCAACTGTGGTGAATAACTAAGCAAATAAAAGATGATCTGTTTTCAAAAAAGTATTGAGTTATTTTTTTACTATAGTGTTTTTCTGTTGTTTTTTTCACCTGGCTTTTTCTTTCTATCTTTTAGAGTTTCTAAATGAAAAAGGAAACCTGCCATAAGCTAAAGTTTGGGAACACTGCATGGTCAGTACTCAGTGGTAAGTATCACATCTTATGAAAGCGTTTTGTAACAAGCTAAGAATCTGTCAGGTATGGTTTGTAGAATTTTCCCAATTCTTCCTGCAAAAGGCTCCAAGTTTTGAGAGATTCTTGGGCCTTCATGCATGCACTACTCTTTAGAGATCTAATCACAGTTTTTTTTTTTGTGATTTTCATGTAGGGGCACAGTGCTGGCCACTGGCTGCAACTCAAGCCCAAAGCATCATCAATCCACCTAATAGTTGGAGAAGTGTTTTTGTTTTCATGAAATTCTGCCCCTTTTTTTTCCCCCAATATTCCTTTGCTCATTGCAGTCAGAAAGTTTTTAATTGAAACTGCATCTGGCTTCTGTAGATGTACTTTTGCAAACATTCGATGCTGAATTTTGCGGTGAGGATACAGGAAAGGTTTTCTTCACAAGGCGGTCACATTTGGGCACAGTGGAACGTTGTACCACTGCTCCCAGTCTGCTAAATCTTCCTGAATGTCTTTTGCACTCAGAGATTTGCCTTCCAAGCAAATCCTACCAGCAGCTCTCTCAGAAAGTTTTCATGGTCTTCTAGACCTCAACTTGACCTCCAGTGTTTCTGTGAACTACCGTTTCTTAATTGCATTACAAATGGAGGAAATGGCATCTAAAAATACAAGGCTATCTTCTTTCGGCCTGCTTTGTGAACATCAATTATTTAAATTTTCAGCATGTCAGGGAGTTGCTTAGAGGAGCTCATAGCTGCAGATTGTTGTGATCAAGTTTGAGCTGTTGAATATTCATAAAACACTGAAATTTGCATAACCTGGCCTTCCCTAATGATGGCTGTGAACAGGCCATAATTCCAGCAAGCTAAATAAGGTCTGAGTCCTTGGTAAAAGTTATGAGCTCAGATTTCTTGGGATGCCCAAACATTTGAGTGGTGTTTCTTCTTCTTCTTTTTTTTTTTCCCCCAGTGTAAAATTGCACACAACTACAATAATATACTAATTGTGCTTAACATCCATCCATCCATTATCTATACACCGCTTAATCCTCATGAGGGTCGCGGGGGGCTGGAGCCTATCCCAGCCGACTTAGGGCGAAGGCAGGGGACACCCTGGACAGGTCGCCAGTCTATCACAGGGCCACACTGAGAGACAGACAACCAAGCACACTCACATTCACACCTACAGACAATTTAGAATCACCAATTAACCTCAACATGTTTTTGGACTGTGTGAGAGGAAGCCGGAGAACCCGGAGAGAACCCACGCTGCACGGAGAGAACATGCAAACTCCACGCAGAAAGATTCCGGTGCCCCCACCGGGACGCGAACCGGCAACCTTCTTGCTGCGAGGCAACAGTGCTACCAACTGCGCCACCCTGCAGCCCTTATGCTTAACATACTGTAAATAATGTTTCTTCTTTTACTTTATGTCTTTTGGAGATGAGTTCAACTTCTACTCCCTTACCTTAAGCAACAGAAATTTGGATTAAGGGTTCTGTACACTGAATATTTTTAACAAATGGTAGTTAATTGTATAGAGGATTATGTATTTCTAGGGGAATCCAGTATCAGGCTTCAGCTACACAGGCAGCACTTCAAAGTAGGTTTATTTACTGTCTGTATATCCGTATAATTTGTTGACATTAATATAAAATATAAACACACAGCCTGTTACTTACCGAATGACAATTGGTGACACTTACCGAATGACAGTTGGCATCACTTCGGAGGCGAAGAATGCACTGAGCATTGCAAGACCCTGAGAGAACAGCAAACCCACGACGGAGAGCAGCAGCACCAGGCTGCCTCGGAGGTCTGACACAAAGAAAAGACAACAGTTTAAACTAGACCCAGAATAACTGCAGTAGAATCAACAGAAGAGATATGGTATAAACATGTCAGTGTCAAGGGGTATGAAGGGATCTTCAAATGGATTTTAGATGTATACAAGTGACTCTATCAACAGATCTGCACTTTTTCGTGATTTCCAAGCTGAAAGAAATACAATGCTGACTGATGTGTTAATATTTGTCAGGGACTCGTGTGAAACCTTCAATACAATTAAAAAATTCTTTACCATGAAACAAAACTTGTAGACCACTGAGTTGAGTTGTCAGAATTTAACTTATTTCACTTATGTCTTCCTTCATTTTAACTCTTGCAACCGTAAAACCCACCAGTAGGTTTAAAAGGTATGTGATTCTTTAAATTAGAGTATTTTTTTTCTTTTCTTTTGTTTTATTTTACTTTATTATTATTATTATTTTTATTATTATTATTATTATTATGTATTTTTTGTCTTTCTTTACTTGGCAAAGGAGAAAAATAAATTAAAATTTTAAGTCATACATATGGAAATTGTTGTATTGCATTTTTTTTCCTGTTTGCTTTTTAAACTTTTTTTATTTTTGTTTTTTGTATATTCTTATATAATTTTTTTTTTCTGTTGCTAATGTGATCAAATAATTTCCCTTGTGGATCAATAAAGTTTATCTAAGTCTAAGCTCCCCCAAAAAGCCAAACTTTCAACACAATTGTTGAGTTTTCAACTTTCTGACAGTCCTTCAATTGATCATGTGTGACTTTCAGTTTTGTCTGGAAAAACCACCACATCTAAGCTTTAAATCTGAACATTTATCTAAAATCTATATTTAAAATCTTAAAAAATAGACCATTTGCAGTAATCAGATTGTCTAAAAACCAAAAAATTATGTGGTCCTCAGTGCAATTGAGAAGCCATGATTCAGTCAGATGTTTCACATGACGAAAATTCAGGGACTTTGTAGATGAACAGAGAACAGAGAAGACAGCATTACAAGAACTGAAACATTATCACTATCACACTTTTTTTTGCGATGTTATCATTGTGGGTGTATATGCTGATTCCATTTTTATAAAATAAATTAGTTTTTAAAAAAATACTTTTTTAATGATTTATGGCATTAATAACCTCATGAAGGACATAGTTGAGTTCTCTCTACTTCTGGTCATAGTTGAGCTGTTTTCATAAAAGGTGCAGGATTTTATACTGTAGTGAAAAATGAGCCCACAGAGAGCAGCAGAGGTAATGGTAGCAAAAGATGCCCAGAAACTGCTTGGGGTTCATGAGTAATGATTACAGTCGTCCTCAAATTTATTCATACGCTTCCATTAAAGAAAAGCCAAAATTCACAATTGTCACTCAAATAACTAGAAACTGAAAAAGTGACAATAAATAAAAAAATGCTACATTATAATTTAGTGAAATAAGACATTGCTTTTGAATTGTAGTTGAAAAGAATAATTTAAAGAAAACAAACAAAACAGTCCCGGACAAATTAGAACACTTTGCTGACGAGCAGGGGGCCAAAATCAAAATACCTGTCAACAGGTGCAGAAGTCTGATTGAAAATATTAGTTTACAGGTCCCATCATGCTTGTTTGCTTGTTGTTGTTTTTTTGGCTTGTTTTTTCTTCTTCTTTTTAAAAAAAATATATTTCTGTTGAACCACCATTCAAAAGCAATGTCATGATTTTCATAACATTTTTATTTATTATTACTTTTGTGACAGCTGTTTTTTTTCCTTCTTCAATGGGAGGGTATGAATGAATTTAAGGACGACTGTAGGTTTCACTCAAGTAAAAATAATGTGGATGTAACGTACACTGAGTGAGGGCCAGCAGCAGCAGCGATGACAGTCCAGTGATGATGGCGGACAGCAGGAGAATACCACGCCGACCGAAGTGATTCACAGACAAACAGATGAAGATGCAGCCCACAGCTCCTGTTGTCACTCGCAGAAAGTAGCTGAAGTAGAAGTTGGTGGAATAACTGTGCAGGTTTCTGGTGAAACAATACTGGATGCCTGTTCCAATGAACCTGCAGGAGAGTTAGATACAGTTAGACACACAGCAGCTTTTTTTGTTGAAATGTGAAGATGCTTCACACACAATAGGTGTCTCTGGTCTTTAAAACCATTCTCCAATCTGTCTGCTCACCTCCAGCATTTCACTATTTATCAATAAAAGGAAATTTTAACTGGGAATCAGTGAGTTACGATAGTTTTTCACCTCAGTTCACCTAGTGTGTTCATTTCATGGACAAGTAAGCACATATATGGAGAGTTAAAACTCACAGAGTGAAGCTGAGTATGAGGCAGTTCTTCCAGATGACACGAGTCCGACGCAGCTCCAGAACCGAATGGTAAATCGGCTGACAGTCTTCTCCGTACACTGAATCTATTTCTAGAATCAGGAAACGAGGATTATATAAAATACTTTGATGGAAAAGTTAAAATTGTTGCAAGTTCTACTAATGGTTTCCATTAGCATATTAGAATAACAATAAATCTTTGTAGGCATTCAAAAGTGTGAAAGTAAAAAAATGTACCAAGGCTCCAAAAAGCCAAATTGATATTGCTTTTAAATTCTACAGGTAGAATGCCATTTAATATATAAGTACAAAAACCAATCAATCAGCTGCAGCAGGAGGAAATACATTGAGTGAATTAAAGATACATGATTTAAATTGTAGCTTAAACAATTAGTTTATCAACAGTAAATTAATCAGTGACTATCTTGATAATCGATTAATAAAATATGCCAAAACTTTATTGGTTCAAGCTTTTCGATATTTGGATTTTTTTGCCTCTTGTGTTTTATGAGATTTTGAAGTAAACAGCTTGTAGAAAGTTGTTTGGACATATCAAGACATTATAAAAGACAACACTAAAGCTTAAGGAAACTGTAAAAGCCATTATTTGCTATTTTCTGACATTTTATAGAGCAAATGATCAATCAAAAAAGTAAGTTGCAGTTTGATAGACAACAAAAATCAGCATTAGATGCAGTCTTCATTTATATTTAAGTGGTAACATAACGCTTTAATGACAAAGATTTAGACTAGCAAGATTTATTCTAATTAAACAACAGGTTAAACAAACTTTTGATGTGTACAAAAAAATGAAAACAGGTTTTGTTTGACTGAGTCACATTTGAGTGAGTCCAATCTAAAACCTGTCAGTTGCCGTTTAACCTTCAAGGTCACTGACAGAAAAGGAGTGTCTTGATTTTTTTTCCTTGAACAGTTTGGGAACAACAAGCATTTTTTCTGTGCCGTAATACACACAAAAACAAACATGCATCTAAAGAAAGAGATAACGCTTTGCTTCATTACAATATTTTAATTGTTCATTAAAACTACACCGGGTTAGGTGGTGGAGGAGGACACTGTTTCTGACTTGTCTCACGAAAGAAAAAGTTTCATAACCAAAGTTTGTGTCTGTGTGCATATACAAGCTTGTGTGTGTGTGTAAGTAGGTGTGTGTGTGTGTGTGTGTGCCAGTGTACCTGGCAGCAGGTTTTCACCGGAGTAGATCTCATCCTGTAGACAAATGCCGTTTCTGGTGGAGAATTCCTGGAGGCTCTTCTTGACCTGAGGAATCTGAGCTGTGGCCAACAGCCAGCGTGGAGACTCCGGAAAAACTGATGCACAGCTGAGAAAAACATCTGTTGTGATTTTTCAGAGAGATAAAGAGCTCAAACATCCTCTTTAACATCCACAGAGGGTGAAAATAAATAAACACACAATTTGAAATTTAGAAATACTTGTCTACATTGTACAATTCCTTGGCAAGAAAAAACCCCCATTTTTAAAAAATATTATATTATCACTGACCTCTAAACAGCATTAGTAAACTGTTTACAGAGATTTAAGAAAAAAAAACATATGTGTGCATAAAATCCTGAAATTTCTGAAAAACACTTTATTCTACATGTCTCATTCAAAAATTTGCTCGAATCAGATTGTGTTTAAAACATTAAAATTTAAATTTAAAATTAAAGCTGCAAGCAGCGTTGGTCGGGTCCTCGGTCTGCGTTGGACCCTCATACCCGTCTGACCGTTCTTCAAGTGAAGCCTGCTTTAAGTTGGAGCCATTTTTCTCTCTCCTCAGCCTCAGACTGTCAGTGAGTGACATGACCAGCTGCACTGAGCTGTGATGATGTCACGATGACTCAGCGTTTTTTGTGCCCCTGGGTGAGAGAGAGAGCTGAGAGTTTTACTCGCTTTCTCTCTCTCCTACAGCCACAATTTTCACCAAATATGTGTAAAAACAGCATATTTTTGTAGGAAATCTTGTTAGGAAGCCCTCAGTGTCATTTTTAAAGATGTAGGACCTTTAGTTTTTTGTGTAGATGACCAACTGACACAGCATGTCTGCACATGCCCCTATAGACACCCATACAAACTATGAACCGAGGCTGCAACAGCTCATCAACTTTAACGGCTCACCATTCGAAAACCGGTTGAGAAACGCCAAATCCCTTCAGAACTTTTGTACATCAAGGCCTTCTCTGTGTCCTGTGCGATTTTCAAGTTGGTGCGATTTACGGTGTCAGACAAGATAACTTTTTCCCAAACAAAGTTTTCGCTCATTTTTTTACTTTGAAAGGCAAACTGTGGACTTCCTGTTGGAGATAGGTCAGGGGTGTCAGCACGAGATTTGTGGGTCTCATTGAGACGAACGTTTTGATGTTGGTTTGATCTCTGTACGACATTCCTACTGGGCGCTAGGGCCATTTTAGTGGGTTTTTCTGTAACTAGGTGGCGCTAGAGAGCATTTTTGTTCTTTTTTTTTCATTTTCTCAAATTTTTCGCCGATTTGGACGTGTGTGCCTATTTTGGTTTTTTGAGCGTGTTTAGGGGGTCAAATTAAGGGTAACGCGTTCGTCAGGCGAATAAGAATAAAGAAAGAAAGAAAGAAACGCAGCAGGAACAATAGGGTCCTTGCCCTTCCTGCTTGCTTTGCAAGAAGGGGTCCTCGGACCCTACAAAAGCCTGACCTAATGAATACTCAGCTACCACCAAGTCATGTGAAAAAAATTCTGGGATTTTTCGGTTGAACTGGAGGCTGTGTTTACATACATTTATAGAATAGATAGGAGACCCGAATGAATACAAATTGAAAACCTAAGTAGTAAAATATCCATAGTATGTGAAGCCACCTTTTTTTGTTCCAGTTTTGGTAAAAACCTGTGAGCACTCAGAACTTTATTATATTTTTTACCTTTTTGTAAATTAAAAAGTGAAAACTTTCTAATTTTATTGTTGTTCTACTAAGACATTTATGAGCACTCTATACTTCTAGTCGTGGTTGTGCTGTTTCCACAGAAGTGCAGGATTTTATATAGCAGTGAAAAATGAGCCCACAGTGAGTTAAAAAAGCAAAAGATATGCCCATAAACTGGGGTTCAGAGGGTTAAACATGAGCTTACGTGTGAATTCAGGTGCATCTGTCAGAAGGTGAGAGTTTAAAACCAGAGTGGCTCCAAACTGCCGACACTTTAAACTTTATATCACAATGTGAGATGGACACACTGAACACTACTGTCAAATAACTCTCCTACAAATACAAATACCTTTCAGCCCCAAAAACCGCCACCTGACTCACCACCAATAGGAAAGCAGCAGAAGCAGAGGCAGCGTGGCCACAGCCTGGAGAACAGGCCAATCGCGGCACAGAACAGCAACGCCTGGCAACAGCAGCTCTGCAAGCACACCAAAGAAGCCGCTAATCATGGCGACCATGAGGCGATGAGGAGGGTCGCACAGCTCCAACCCTGAGAGAACGACAGGATCAGAGAGAGGAAACACATGGCATCAGATCATCGCTGAGGCAAAACGAACACGTTTATCCAGAACCAAACCATTTGTTCTTCACACATGAAACTAAATTATGTGACGTTTTGTCACACAGGTCATATGTGTGCTTGGTAACACTGATGAAGGCATCTTTTGTTTAATATATGTTAAATCTGAGTGTTTACATCTCATCTGTACGACAATCTCCCTACTCACTCTTTGAGATCTTTAAGAGAAAAAGGTTGCAGCTAATAATGTTCAAATTTGTAAAAATGAGACTCTGGATGTTTCAAACAAGAAAGAAAAACAGTCTTCCTCTACAAATGTAAAGTTAAATTAATAAGCAATAAAAGACTTGTGTTTAATTCAATACATTGTTGGTAGTTTGATATCTGTAACTGTATACTGGTGCCTCCTTTAGACTTGTGTCACTGTTACGCTGCGCATTGTTTGACATTATCTCTTGAAGTAGATATCTCACGTGTCTGTCCTACACTGATAAAACACCACAAAAAACTAATGCAGCGTTTCGTAGACATGAACATAACTTCTTACATTACACTGCAAACGAAGTAAAAAATTGAACTCTGTCATAGAAAAGCTCCAACAAATGTAGAAAATAAACCAACAGGATCCACCTGCTGATCTCAACGTGAGGAAACAGAAAATCTGTGAGTCATCGAGAAGTGACAAGAGTCTCCAGACATGGGCGCCCGTATAGCTCACCTGGTTGAGCGGGCGACCCATGAACAGGGGCTACAATCCCCGACGCAGCGGTTGTGAGTTCGAGTCCCGCTCATGACCCTTTGCTGCAGGTCTCTCCCTCATTCTTCTACCCCCTTTCCTGTCTCCCTCTCTACTGCTCTAAATAAAGGCAAAAGCCCAAAAAATATATTTAAAAAAAAAAAAAAAAAAGAGTCTCCAGACATGAGGGGTGTCACTTCTACCAGCAGTCTTTTATTGTTCAACACATTTTTAGTCTCTGCTCATGCCTTCAAGTAATGTGAATATACTCATCAGGTAAACAGCGAGTTAAATGATTTTCCTTGTTGGGTTCGAAAGAAATACTCAGCTAATTGATGTTGCAGAAACTGTCTGTCTTGTTACATCTCTAAAACAGAGTTTAATATATGCTGGAATAAAAATCTAAACAAACTTCTCTTGGCCAGTCAGTGTTTAATATTATTGAACATTATGTACCTAAATTTATACTGCTTCAAACTGTATACAGAATTTTATTATTATTATTATTATTATTATTTTAAATTCCACCCTGCTCAGGATAAAAATGTGACAGTACAGTTATGATAATTCAACCCCGCTTCCGGCAGGGGGCCATGCTGGCGCGACTGGCTGCCGCTGCTCTCCCGCAATTTAACTTTTAAAACGGTAATTTAACCTTTAAAAAACATGAGATCTGAGCGTCTACAGAGTGAGAAGTCACTGCTCCCAGCCAAGACACTGCGTCTCTCCCGCTTCTCAAAGAAGCTCTCCAGAGAAGTTACATGAACTCGGGAGTGGGTGCCGTGGCAGATGAGAGATGGCAGAGGGAACTGATGGATCAGGAAGTTAGTTAAGAGAGATGGAAGTAGGTGGCGGGAGATATGACGGTAAATGGAATGCTGTTAGGAAGCATAAATGTAAAAAAAGGGGGAGTAAAATGGAGGATAGTGATTCTGAAGAGGGAGCAGTGGTATCAGGGGAAAGGAGAGAGGAGTTTAAGGTAATCGCGAGCCTTGTGCGAGAAGGAGCTTTGTTCAGTGAGTGGAATCCAGTTCCACTTACAAAAATCATCAGTAAAGAAATTGGGGAGGTAAGGAGTGTGAAGATATTGAGAAATGGATCATTGCTAATAATTTGTAGAGATGGAGTACAACAGAAAAGAGCAATCAGAATGAAAAAAATAGAGGGCAGGGAAATGAAATGCACGCTGGCCAGAAGCAAAAAGTTTGTCAGGGGAGTCATGCACAGGGATCCCAGTAAGAGTATCTGAGGATGAGGTGAAAGAAAATATAACAAATGTAAAAGTGAGTGAGGTCAAGCAATCACTTCAGATGAAATAAGACTTTCGGAAAAGATATTCATAGGGTATATGTGTTATGATGTGAGACCATATATTCCACCACCACTAAGATGCTATACATGCCAGAGGTTTGGACATGTTGCAGTAGTTTGCAAAGGAAAGCAAAGATGTGGCAGATGTGGGGGAGACCATGAATATGGCAAATGTGAGGAGGGGGCAAAACTGAAGTGTTGCAATTGTGGAGGGGAGCATAGCTCAGCATACCATGGATGTGAGGTTAGTAAAAAAGCAGCAGAGGTGCAGGGAGTTAGGGTTTCCTAGGGAATGAGCTATGCAGAGGCAACAAAAACAGTTACAGGAAGCATTCAAGAGGTAAAACAAAGTGGTACTAAGAACAAAGATAAAGACAAATGTAAAAGATGTGATAAGCTGAAGGAGGAAACTCTGCTAGTGAGTAAAAATGATTTTGTACTGTTTATGGCAGATATAATTAGCTGCTCAGTGCAAACAAAAAGTCGAAATGAAAGGATCAAAATAATTGTCAAGTCAGCTGAAAAGTACCTTGATGTAAAGGGACTGAGTAGTGAAGATGTCAAAGACATTCTTAATGAAGATGCCCAACCATCTCAGATATGGAATGGTTCTTCTTAATGGTACCAATATTATTGCAATGGAATGCAAGAAGTTTAATTGCAAACGGACAAGAGTTTAAAAAATATATTGATGATTTGAGAGAAAGACCGAATGTACTTTGTATTCAGGAGACATGGCTGAAACCACAGTTGGATTTTAATATAAAGGATACTTTGCAGTCAGAAAAGATAGGGAATCTGGTAGAGGGGGAGGAGTTACAACATTCATACAGAATGGAATGAGATATAAAGTTATACAGGTAAATTCTGATCATGAAGCAATAGTGATTAGGGTATGGATGGAAAAGGTTCTGTAGATATAGTTAACTACTGTAAACCATGTGAGAAATTAAGTATAGATACATTAAATAGTGTAGGAGGATTAGTACATGATAATGTAATATGGTGTGGGCATTTCAATTCGCATAACACATTATGGGGTAGCAATAGCACAGTTGCAAATGGTTTATCCCTGGAGGAATTTTTAGACGATCACGGTTTGGTATGTCTTAATACAGGGGAGGAACATGATATAATAATAGGCAAAACACAGAATCGGTAATTGACCTCACGTTGGGAACCAGTGCAATAGCTGGCGTAAGCACATGGAGGGTGGATAAAAACACAACAGTTGGCAGTGATCACTATCCGGTGATGACTGTAGTTGGAATAAAAATTTGCTTTGAAAAGGACAAGAAAATTCCTAAATGGAAACTGACAAACACTAATTGGGATGCCTTGCAAAAGACAAGTGCAAACAGATTTAAAACACTACAAGAGTAGATCCAGGTAGATGTTGACAGATTTAACGAGGAAATAGTAAATTCAATTATTCATTCTGCTGAGGAAGCAATCCCTAAAATACAGGTGCTACACGCACTAAGAATGTTCCCTGGTGGAATGATGAGTGTGGCAAAGCCATTGGAGCTGGAAATAAAGCATTGAGACAACTTAAAAAATTCCATTCACAGGAGGCTCTGATGCAGGTCCAGGCTATTGTGAGGAGAGCAATTAGAACGCAAAAACGCACATTTTGGAGGCAATATTGGAGCAGCATTGGTTGTGAAGTACAGCTATCAGATATCTGGGGCATGATTAGGAGAATGGGTGGGGTCAGAAGATGTTATGGACTACCAGTATTAAGTAGTTGGGACAAAATGGCAATACATAATTTGGAAAAGGCTGAACTTCTTGTTCAAACATTTAGGAAAATACACAGTTCAGAAAATCTCACAGAGGAGGCCAAGCAGAGGAGATGTACAACCTTAATAAGGAACCCCATCATATTGGAGAAATTGGAGATGTCAGGAGATCTGTTAGACCTGAACTTTAATATGTTTGAGCTGAGAAGAGCTATCACCAGTGCTCGTCAAACTACTCCTAGGAAAGATGGTGTATGCTACAAAATGTTGGAACACATAACAGCGGATGCACTAAACATTGTTTAGTAAGGTTTGGGAGTGTGGTCAAGTTCCCTCAGTGTGGAAACAAGCAATAATAGTGCCAGTTCAAAAACCAGGAAAGGACCCCTCAGACCCATCGAGCTACAGGCCAATCACCTTGACATCACATTTGTGTAAAATATAACTGGGTGCTGAATTTTTTAATCAACAGAAAAATACAAGTAAGAGTAGGGTCAGAATACTCCATTATATATGAGGTAGAGAAGGGTACTCCACAGGGTAGTGTGTGTAGTCCATTGCTTTTCAATATAATGATCAATAACATATTTTCTAAGGTAGAAAGAAATATAGGGAAATCTTCGTATGCGGATGACGGGGCTCTATGGGCAAGAGGGCGCAATACAGCTCATGTTAGTGGGAAAATACAAGCTGCGATACTTGAGGTGGAGGGATGGGCAAGTCAGTGGGGATTTAAACTACTGGTTGCAAAAACTCAAGTGATATGCTTTTCAAGAAGAAATAGAGTTACTCCACTCTCACTAAAACTGTATGGGCAGCAACTGGAACAGGTTAAAGTTTTCAGATTTCTTGGGGTCTGGTTTGATGAAAGGCTTACATGGAGCACTCACATAGGAAAAGTTGTGAGGGTCGTGAATGTTAATGAGGTGTCTAGCAGGACAGCAGTGGGGAGCCAGTAGAGCATCTCTGCAAAATATACACTGGGCTCTTGTGAGGTCAATATTCGACTATGGCTGCATCGCTTATATGTCTGCAGCAGAAACAAATCTGAAGAAGCTGGATTTTGTGCAGGCTCAGGCCCTAAGAATCTGCAGCAGAGCTTTTAAATCATCTCCAGTATCAGCAATGCAGGTGGAAATGGGGGAGATGCCTCTGTGAATTAGGCGAGTCAAATTAATGCT